AAAAAATTTGGCAAAATTCCCCGATTGTTTTCAATTTCCCTGACAAATTCCCTGATTTCCAGTTTTGTGGCAACTCTGGTTTGAAAAGTGGAAATCAAAGCAGGAAAAACTAGCAAAGCGACCCTCCTTTGCGACCACGGAAGTGTGGGATAGGAATTATACATCCGTGCTAACCTCCGACCCGTGATTATTCCAATCGCGTAACCCCGCACGCGCGCGCGCGCGCCTTCGATTTTCCCATTAACGTTCCACTTAGCCTTTCTTCCGGTGATAACGAGGCAGGTCGCAGCCTCGGCTTTCGTCAGGTTCTATCACTTATCTTCAGCGACAGCGCCGTTTTTCTATTTATGTTTATACAGAGAGCGGACTCCATCAAGAAATGATTATGAGAGACTGTTGCAAGTACTTGGATCATAATGAGAGTCGATTGCTGTCTCGCGACATCTCGATTCCCACGTTTCGACTAAAGATCCGAGATCTGCAGATGCGATTTCCTAGAATCGATTTCTCCGTGGGATGTGACAAACGTAAGTCGGAACAGGATTTTGCTCGAAAGGAATTAATGCGAATTATAAATAATAAAATAAAAGGAACATGAGTTTTAAAGGTATATCAGTTCTTACATTAGATCAACCAAGAAATTAAATATGAATTTATTTTTACAATCAGCTTTGCGCAGAAGTCAGTTTACGGAAAACATGTTTATCCACAAATCCACGCGTGTAATAAATGCCTTCATATAATATGTAATTTAGTTTTGCATGTAAAAATAATACACTCTCTCTCTCTCTCTCTCTCTCTCTCTCTCTCTCTGTCTCTTTCTCTCTATATACACAAAAATGGATTTACATTTAAATGTGTAGTATAATATATCGTTACATGGAAAATTAAATTAATGTACACACATAGGTATATGAAGGTATTAATTACATACTCGAGCATTTACACTGCAAATCCAAATGTATTATAACTTAATAGATGCCTTCATATGTGTATGATATGTGTGATCTAGTTTTCTGTGTAAAAATTATAATACATATATTATTATTATACACATTTAAATGTATAGCATGGTGTTATTTGTATACATAAAACTAACACACGCACGCGCGCGCGCGCACACACACACACACACACACACACACACACACACACACACGCATGAAAATTAATTATACATTTGGATTTTCAGTGTAGAGTCTCCGAGGAAAGTCCCGCGGGCTTTTCATACATGATAGACCTATTGTGGCGTCCAGGCTATTAATCGACGAGAAAGTCAGCGGAAAATTTAATCATAAAAAATAGCGGACGGAATCGATCGTACGAGAACGTGACGATCTGGGCTTTACGCGCGTCCTCCTAATGGAGGTCGAAGTTCTCACGTATATATGTATAACGAATGGTGGTGGGTGGTGGTACCTGACGGGGTAGCTATTCTTCATCCTTTTCTCTCTTGCTCTGTCCTTCCGACAGGTATACACAGATCGAAGAAAACGAAAGCGTGACCGCGACGGAATCCCCGAATGAAGTCACCTCCCGGAAATCGCCGATCGATGCCGGGACTACGGTCGCACGAGCGCGACACGTGCGAGTCCCTCGCCCTTTTTCGCGGAAGCGGAACGGTTTTCGCGTGATGATCCGTTAATCTCGGTAGGTACATTAGCGGGATTCCGGATAATAGCTAGGATAATGTGTCGCGAGGAGTGCCGCGGGGACAATCGCGATCTCCGTGAAAATCCCCGAGAGGCTGACAATAAAATCTCTAACGCGCGCGAACATCTAAAAGCTTAATCACTTTGTCGCTAGTGACTTCGCCGAATTCGTTCATTTTATTTTAATTGTCCACTGTTCTCTCTTATGTGCAATATAATATTTATAAGAATTCTCCGACTGTCTGTTACAGACAATACAGACTGAGATGCACGTGTCTTTCCAGATACAGTACGTAAAGCTGATTCCACACAATTTCATCAGGTGATCGATTGTACCTTAACGGAATGTTCCATTTACCTACATGGAAAAAATGATGTTATATTAACAGCATTAGCCAATAGCAGTTTAATTAAAAATAATCTTGTTAATAACAATATTTATTTCGTTAATACTATCGAATTAGAGTGCTGACGATTAATGTTAATTAATACATCATTTTTTCCGTATACATAAATTATTTACGCTCATAAAAACTTTCAAGATGATGTAAGTAAACATTTTAGAAGGAGCATTGTTTAAAAAAATTACAACTGGAAGCATATGTTGGGTCCTATCTTTGACGAATTTTTAGATTTGTATATTAGACTTTTATCAAGATTTTTTTTAATTGATAAGACTTATATTTTAATGTGTGTGTGTGTGTGTATGAGTTATATTATTGTCAAATAAATATATATTTGTCAACCAGAAAATCCTTTTTTTTTTCGAAAGAAAATATAAATCTTCAGAACTTTAGAAAAAGCTTCATAAATACAATATCCGCGAATCGTGATTATAATTAGACAATCTAAAATTAGATTTTTATTGATTAACTTAATATTTTAGTTATGTATACCTATTTGAATACATATAATCTTACATATAATCTATATAGATATATATCTATTTATAATCTTCAATATATATATATACAGTTTTATAGAAATTTAATATTGAAAGATAATGTTTAATTACTTATTATGAATATTAAAAGTACTAGTATTCAATGCTCTCAAAATTCTTTGGAATAAAGTCTCGCTCGTAGGAGTGAAAATTCTGCTAATCTTGAAAAAGAGTGGCAAAATTTTCAATCTTTGAAAGATTTCACTTTTTAAAGTAAAATTCCACTCCAAAGAATTTAGAGAGTGCTTTAATATTTACAATAAGTAATTAATCAGAATTAATTTGGATTTCTGTAAGGGTAAAACAGATATTATCAGATAAACAAATATTTACGCACAAATACTCCGAATTGATTTTGCTTCACGTGCTTTAAGACATTCATGACATCTATAAACAGATCGCAAGTGTGAGAACGACCTAACGGAGGAGACGGTCCGGTCAGTGGATTTCGTGTAGATCGATAAGAAAGTTCGTAAGGAAGACATCAGGAATGCACGATCATGACCATGTACGAGTGTCCGCGTGCACGTGCGCATGTACGTGTGTATGTATCTTCATCCAAGAACGTGCCTCGTCAGGCTGTGGCGAGAAAGGTCTCTCCTACGCGACGGAGGGTAGTTAGATAGGTAGGTAGAAGATCCTCGACCGCAAATATGTCATAATTCATGGCCGACCTCGTCGGAGTGTATTACTTACATTCGGTGCACCGCACCAGTATGCCGTCGTTGTCGCTGGCAGGGACACGACCGCTTCTCAGAAGTAGGCGTATAGCGGTGGATTGACAGACTACGTCTGACATGACATCGGTATTATCACGAATCGTAATGTAGTAACGAGAATGTTAGAATAATGAATGGAAAACCGCGGTGATATCCGAAAGGCGCTGACGCTTCCGAGGAAGTATTAGCTGATGGGTTCCATCCGAAACTTGCTGCGACAATGACACATGCCTGCGATTACATAATCTGAGATAACACCGAGGTTATTTAAATCATACTGTTAGATATCAAAGCAGCAATGGTAACTCAATGTCTTGAGTCAAAAATAACATTTTGTTATTTTTAACTTTCGTGTATATGTATAATCAATCAAAATGTAATCAATCTATTTCTGTGATTAAGCTCGAAGTAAATAACATTAATGTGTGTGTGTGTGTGTGTGTGTGTGTATG